CTTCTCCCTCTCCCACTCCCCCTGCTTGTGTTCCCTCTCTAGCTGTGTCTCTCTCTGTCAAATAAATAAATAAAATCTTTAAAAAAAAAAAAAGTCTGTTTAAAAAAAAAAAAACTAAAAGAAAAGAAAAAAAACACAACTAAGTGAGCATGAACTCTGGGTAAAAGGTGGTATACATTCTAATGTTAAATGCCAGAAGTGCCTACGGAAAAAGATACAGACACAAAATAAATGACCAGCCAAACTCTCATTACTGTAAAACTGAACAATTCATAATGGAAGTAATGGATGGGAAGGACACATGTAAATTTTTCACCCAGTGCTGGTAGATTATCTTTCTTGGGGCTGAAATCAGAAAGAAAAGTCAGGAACCCTCAAATTTCCTTTCAAAAAGGGCAGAAATTAAAAATGTCCAAAAAACCCTCAAGAGTGGCTATGTGGCCTAGGTAGGCAGTACAAAATAATTGGTTAACTTGTAAGACTCAGTTTTGATTATTCAATTGCAAAGAATTCAGATAAGGAGGAACAGGAAAAAATAAACCAATGTGGACCCATAAAGAGAAGTCCTAAGGGCTCAGAATATAAAGAAGTTTATATAAAAAGATGGAACAGGGAGGGGCCCACAACCAAAGACATATACAAATGAGTTGCAAGCAGTTACAAGAATAGTGTCAGGAAAGCTAGAGCCAAAAACGAGCAGAAGCTTGTCAAGAAAAAATTGCTAAGCAAAACTAAAAAGACAATTTTGGTTCAGAGAAAAGAAGAAAAAGAAGAGCTCTGTCTCTACTCAAGGCGAAGGACATACTGTCAACCGGCAATTCAAGGCGCTGCAGGTTAACTCTAATGTCCCTTTTGTCACCTGTCAAAATAAAACAGAGAAAAAACACAAAATAGGATTCAAACTAGAGGAAACTTTAGTGAAAAGAGACCTCAACAAGAGCAAGAAGACTTGCGTGCCAAGTCCCCCTAAAGGGACTTAGCTGTTTGGCTGCGACAAATGATAGTACAAGGAGTACCTAACTAACAGACAACACCTCGAAGCTGCACTCTGATCTCTAGACAGCCAGGACAAAGACGGGAAGGAAGATGACAAGGGAGGTAAATCCAGTCTGAAGTTTCAGAAGAAGAATGAGAATACCATTTACTGGTTATCCCCTGATGCAGTATGCTATGGCCATTACCCATAGTGTCTAATCCAATCAACAACCAATAATCCCTATGTAAATATTCTGTTTAATGTACAAAAGGGAAAAAAGAAGTGGGGAGATTTTAAATGCTACCTGAGGCTGCAAAGCGAGTAAGGAGAGGTCCAGAGGTCCACAGACATTTTGCTCTACATGAAGGTAGATTCTATAAATTACAAGAAAATTAGTATGATAACAGTCCTAGATAAATTCTAGACCTTGAAAAAGCAAAGACAGTATTCACACATTAACAAGACTACTAGGGAGGGCTGAAATTTAACTGTTCTTAGAAATGCGGGGCTCCCGGGAAAACAAAGTGTGACATGTACTCACTCCTTCAGTATCATCACAAACACATACAAAGCACACAAAAACATCATTCTTTTAAGAAATGTATAAAATGGCAGTACCTTACTTCTCCTAAACTTGTTACAAACTAAGAAGATTAAAGTCTCAAAACAAAGTGACTTTAGGGGCATCTGGGTGGCTCAGTCAGTTAAGCGTCTGCCTCCCATGATCTTGGGGTCCTGGAATCAATCAGCCCCACATCTGGCTCCCTGATGAGCAGGGAGTCTGCTTCTCCCTCTCCCTCTGCCCCTCCCCCCACTCATGCTTTCTCTCTCTCAAATAAATAAAAAACCAACAAAGTGACTTTAGAACAACAATGAGATACCACTTCACATCCATTAGGATGGCTATCATATTAAAAAAAAAAAAGCAAAACGGAAATTAACAAGTATTGGCAAGAATGTACAGAAATCGGAACTCTAAAGCACTGCTAGCATTAATGTGTAAATGGTACAGCTGCTGTGGAAAACAGTTTGGCAGTTTCTCAAGAAGTTAAACAGAATTACCATAAAATCCAGCAATTCTACTTCCAGGCATAGGATACCAAATGATTTAAAAAAGCAGAGTCCGACAAATACCTGTACAACAATGTTCATGGTGGCATTATTCACTATTCTACCAAAAGGTAGAAACAACCTAAATGTCCATCAACTGATAAAAGGGTTAACAAAATGTGGTATATGCGTACGAGAGAACCCATTCAGTCTTGGAAAGAAATGAAACTCTGATACCTGCTATAACATGAATAAACCTTGAAAAGATTAAGCTAAGTGAAAAAATCCAGTCACAAAAGGACAAACAGTATATGATTCTACTTAGATAGGCAAATTCATAGAGACAGAAAGTAGAATGGTGGTTACCAAGGGGCTAAGGGAAGGGCGGTTGCTGTTTAATGGGTACAGAGTTCCATCTGAGATGATGAAAAGTTCTGGAAATGGACAGTGTGGTGATGGTTGCATGACACTGTGGATATACTTAATGATATTGACTTGTTCACTTGTTCACTTTACCAGTAACAAGTTGGGGATATCCCAACTTGCAATCTCACACTCTCAACAATAAAACAATTAGAAAATAAGCAAGGATACAGAAGACTTGAATAACACTATCAACCAACCTGATCTAACTAAAATCCACAGAACTTATGACACCCTACAGTATCAAAATATACAGGTTTTGTTTTGTTTTTTTCAAATGCACATGGAATAGTCTCTATAAAATAGACCACTGCTGTGCCAGGGGTTGTCAAACCTTTCCTGTCCACCATATAAAAATGATTAAATACCATGACCAAGTGGGATGCAAATACTTTAGGTTTTGCAAGCCACATACTACCTTTGTCACATATTCTTCTTTAACAACTCTTTAATAATCTAAAAACCATTCTTAGATCACAGGCTATACAAAAACATGCATAAAACAATTCTCAATAAATTAAAAAAAAAAACTGGAATCATGCAAAATATGTTCAATGCTTTGTAATCCCACAATGGAATTAGATTAGGAATCAACAGAAAAAACTGGGGAAATCCCAAAATATGCGGAAATTGATTAACGTGTTACTAAATAATCCAAGGGTCAAAGTAAGACATCACAAGGGAAATTTAAAAATATTTTGAACTAAGTAAGTACCAAAATTATGGGATGCAACTAAAGGAATGGTCTTGAACTCCTACGCTAAAAAAAAAAAGAAATAACTGAAACCAGTAAGATTTCACCTTAAGAAACTATAAAAAGAAAAGCAAACTAAACATAGAGTAAGCAGAATAAAGAAAATAATAGCAAATGGATTTGGAAATCAATGAAAAAGAGAAAAACTGGTTCTTTCAAAAGATCAACAAAATTAACAATCCTTTAGCTAAACCAACCAAGACACAAAATACCAAAACCGGGAATGAAGACATCACCATTAACCCCTACAGAAATGAGAAATATTATAAAATATACTATGAAAAACTTTATGTCAACAAATTAGACAATTTAGACAAAATGGACAAACTCCTAACTAGACACAAATTACCAAAGCTGACTCAAGAAAAAAACAGAGACTCTGAATAGACCGATCCAACTTAGGAAATTGAATCAGTAATTAAAAATCTCCCGACAGTGAAAAGTCCAAGCCCAAATGCCTTCACTGGTAAATTCTATCAAATATTTTAAGAAGAAATAATACAAATAAGCTCTTCCAAAAATAGGAGGGAACACTTCCCAACTCACTCCATGAGGTCATTATTACCCTGATACCAATGCTAAATAAAACCATCACAACAAAACTACATACCACTATCCCTTCCTCACGTATATACAAGCAAAAATATTCAACAAGATATCAGTAAATCTAATCTAGAAATATAGTAAAAAGAATTATGTACCAAGGCCATGGGGGAATACCCCAGGAATAAAAGCCTGGTTTAACATCAGGAAATAAGTTCATGTAATATACCTTATTAACTAGAAAAAAGAAAAAAATCTCTTCTGATCATCTCAACAGATACAGAAAAAGCTTCTGACAAAATCCAACATCGATTCATGGTAAAAATTCTCAGCAAACTAGGAATAGAACTAATATTTTATGGCTAGACCCTCCAGAACAATGGTGAACAGAAGTAGTGAGAGCAGGCATCCTTCTCTTGTTCCCAATTGTAGGAGAAAAGTAATTCAAATAGTCTTTTACCATTAAGGATGCTGATAGCTATAGGTTTTTCATACATGCCCTCTAATAATGAGAGAGAGAGAAAAAAATTAAAGGCATCCAGATTGGGTAGTGAAAAAAAATGCTGTTTGTTATTGACATGTTCTTGTATTTAGAAGACCCTAAGGAATCCAGATAAACGCACCCACACAAAAAAGCCCTACTAGAATTAATAAATGAATTCAGCAAGGTTGCAGGTTATAAGATTAATATATGAAAATCAATTGCATTTCAATCTATTTAATTAAGAAGAAACCAAATTCCATTCACTTAGGAATAGCAAAGTAAAACAATTTATATTGAATACTGGAAGATCTAAATAAATGGAAAGACATACCACACCTGTGCACTGGAAGATGGCAAACCTCCCCCACTGATTTAGAGATTCAACGTGATCTCTATCAAAATCCAAGGAGGGGATTTTGGGGAGGCAGAAATTAACAAACCGATACTAAAATGATATGCAAATGCAAAGAACGCAGAAGTGCTAAACAACTGTGAAAAAGAACAAAGTTGGAGGAATAACACTTCTCGTTTTCAAAACTTACTATGAAGCTTTAGTAAGTATCTTAAGACTATGAAGTACAGACATACAAATCAATGAACAAATTAAGAGCCCTGTAATAAACTTACATTTATTCCACTGGTTTCTGAAAAAACATGCCAAGGCAATTCAATGGAGAAATGGTAGATGCTCTTTTCAACAAAATAGTGCTAGAACCAAATGGATGTCTACGTACACAAAGACCAATTTAGATCTTTACCATACAGAAAGCTTAACTCAAAATAAATCACAGACCTAAATGTAAAAGCTAAGGCTACAGAATTTCTAGAAGACAAAACAGAAAACTTTCATGACTTCGGGATAGACAAAGATTTCTCAGATCCAACACCAAAAACATAAACAAGGGAAGAAAAAAGTGATAAACAAGACTCAGTCAAAATTAAAAACTTTCAGCTCTTTCTGTCATCTTGCAGCCTGTAGAGGCCTGCTGGGAACAGGACTCCTAAAATGACAAATATGTCTAGAAGGCTGTGGTCCAGGGCCATTTTTGCTGGCTCTAAGGGAGGTCTCCAGAATTAGAGGGAGCAGCACACAGCTCTTCTTAAAACTGAAGGTGTTTATGCTCGAAATGAAATTGAACTCTTATCTAGACAAGAGATGGGCTTCTGTGTACAAAGCAAAGAACAATACAGTAACTCCTGGCGGCAAACTGTACAAAACCAGGGTAATCTGGGCGAAAGTAACTCGTGCTCATGGAAACAGTAGCATGGTTTGTGCCAAATTCCCAAGCAACCTTCCTGTTAAGCCATCTGTAACAGAATCTGATACTGTACCCCTCAAGGATTTCAACTTACTGAAGAGAAAATAAAAGTGTACAAAAAAAATGAAAACTTCTGTGCTTCAAAAGACATTAAGAAAATGCAACAACAATCCAGACTGAGAGGTAATATCTGCAAATCACACATCTAATAAAGGACTTCTACCCAGAATATATAAAGAACTCTTACAACTCAATAGTAAAACAACCCAATTAAAAATGGGCAAAAGATTTAAATATTTCATGAAAAAAGATACATGAAGAGCTAGTAAGTACATGAAAAATGCTCAACAACATTACTCATTATGGAAATGATGGAAAATTAAATGCAAATTAAATGGAAATGCAAATTAAAACCACAATAAGACACTACCTCATACCCACTAAAATGGGTACATTCAAACAGCCTGACAATAACAAGTATCAAGAGCATGTGGAGACAGGGCGCCTGGTGGCTCAGTCGATTAAGTGTCTGCCTTCAGCTCAGGTCATGATTCCAGGGTCCTAGAGTGGAGCACCTCATTGGGCTCCCTAAGCAGGGAGCCCACTTCTCCCTCTCCCTCTGCTGCTTCCCCTGCTTGTGTGTACTCTCTCTCTCTCTCTTTCTCTCTCAAATAAAATCTTTAAAAAATAAATAAATAAGAGCCATGTGGAGAAACTGGAACCCTCATATGTTAGTGGTAAGAATATAAAACAACACTGCTGCTTTGGAGAAATTTGGCAGTTTTTCTTAAATAGTTAAATTCACCATATTGCCTCAGAAATTCCATTCTTAGGTATTTACCCAAGACAAATAAAAACAAAACTCACACAAAGAGTTATATGCAAATGTTCCTAACAGTAGTGGTCATACTAGCCAAAAACTAGAAATAATTCAAATGTCCACCAACTGGTGAATGGCTAAAAAAAATGTGGTACATCCACACAAGGACAACTGTTCAGCAATAAAAAGGAAAAAACTACTGATACATGTTTCAACATGAAAGAACCTTGAAAATATTACGCTAAGTGAAAGAAGCCAGATGCAAAAGACTACACATTATGAGATTCTACTTACATGAAATGTTTAGAAAAGGTAAATCTATATATACAGACCAGAGATTAGAGGGTCTCTGGAGCCGAGGACAGGAGCAAGGACAGACTGCAAATACACACAGGGTATCTTTTTAAAGGATTATGAAAGTGTTCTAAAACTAGATTGTGGTGATGGTGCAAAACTTTATACATTTACTAAAAATCATTGAATCATACACTTGTAATGGATAAATGTTATGGTTTATAAATTATACTTCAATAAAGTTGATTTTAAAGAGTGGTAAGAAGTTAAACACAAAATAGCAGCAACAACAAATTATGATGAGAATTTCTCTTACCTCTGCTGGATATACTGGGCATAATCTGAGGAATCATATTATTGCTTGTATCCATTGGCTGGGAATTATCTTGACCCATTTGATCATCTGGTGGCATATAAGCAGGAGGAGGAGTATCAGCTAAGAAGAAGAAAATGAGACAAGTTAAAGTCCCAAAAGAATAGTTAATATTTTCATCCTGCTTAAATGTATTCTAAAAGCATTAAAAAGGTCCTAAGATTACCAGCAGGGTTTGTCACTGAACATTACAAAGAAAAATGTAGGATGCTACCTGAGACAAGAAAAAAGTAGAAAAGACAGCATACCCATTAGTTACTGAAAACCTGCTAAAGGTCTGCATGTATTCGGTCCAAACCAGGATAGTAAGATCAGTGCTAAAATTCACTAAAATAGAATTCAAGGTCAAGAATTTTGTCTTTATGTACTTAGAATCATATGCTGGGAGAAACTCCAACAACTACAAACCAATCTGAAGGACACAGATTATCCTAGTTTGAGTATATCTCTACAGAGACACTTTTAAATTATCAAGATCATCACACACTGTATGTTGTTAATTAACATCAGAAATTAAAACTATACTCCTACAAAATGTACCAACATGAACAGCAGCTAGACATCTAATTCTTTTCAACATCCTAAAATGGCTGTCATGCCCTACTAAATGATTAGGTAATTCTTAGGAAATTTGAATGTGAACTAGAAAATCTTTTGAGTTCCAGCACTCCTAGTTAAAAATCTTCGCAAAAGCTACAGCTGTATTTCTTTGTCTCAGTAATTATAAATACTGAATATAATAGTCTTTCACTCCAAGGCTTATACAAGATACACTGTGACACAGAACTGTAATCAGACTGAATCTAGGGTAAAGTATGAAAATTAGTTTTGGAACAAATACCTAACAGCAAGTTAAACAGTTGATACTTAATTCTTCTTGAAAAAATAAAAAAACACGTCAACTGATGCAGTAAAGAAACCAGAAACAATATACTGACATATGACTCCACCTACAACAGTAGGCATTCAAATATTTCTTGACAAACTGACATAATGATGCATCCATGTATGACATGCCATTAATGAAATCTGGGCACTTTATAAAATCTACTTATGAACTTTCTCCAAGCAAACCAGTTCATCAGTTACCTAATTAAAGATAACTGGGGTGCCTTTTAACTTTCCAGTCTATAATGATGTGACAAGCAGTAAAGTTAAAAAAGCACAGACTTTAGAGTCAGAGAAACCTAGGTCGGAAACCTCAGGCAAGGTACTTAAGCTCTTGAAGCGAGTATCAATTTCTTTCTCCACCTGTATAATCAGAGTACTATCTAGCTCACATGGTTGTTCTGAAGATTAAATTTAATGCAGTATCTTCCATCACAGTACCAGTTATACAAAAGGCACTTAATAAATGGTACTCTGTATTATAAATTATATGAAAATATTTAAGTCAAATACGGCTGCTTCTTTTTTTAATGCCTGGAAATACATAATTTAATTGTTTGGGCCAATAAATGATCGAATGATACCTAAATACACTTCCAGTTTTTCAGATTACGTACTCCACGTCATAGTCATCAAACACGTAGTCTTTTTCTGGCTTCAGGTTTTTGATAACCTATTAGAACACTCTGCCTTTCACGCATATAGGACTCCCTATGAAACCTTTCACGTTAGCACCATTTGACTTCACTCTCAAGTTGCAGTGGCAGCCACTTTACATAGCTAGTTGTCAATGTATGTATGTATTTCTGTAAGTTTACCCATTCATTTCACAAATATTTCTTGAGGGTCTACTGTATACCAGGCTCTGATACAGGGACTGGGGATGTAGCAGTTAAAAAAAAAGAGGCTAAAATTCCCTTTTTCATGGAGTTTATAGTCAAGATAGGGAGAGGAGGAAAGGAAAGAATATAAATACAAACAATCTGTTGGACTATAATATAGGCTATCAAGAAAAATCAAGCAGTGAGAGAAAGAAGATAGGATGAAAGGAGAAAGTGAATTTTTTTTTCATTAATTCTTAAAGGATCATCTCTCCAAAACTGTTTGCTTTTTTCACAACATTCAATTAATTTCAATCCAAAAAAAAAAAAACAGTTCATCCATTTCTCTTACTCCTTGCCTCTGGCAACTACTAACCTGTTCTCATCATCTATGATCTGGGTTTTCTGTTTTTTGTTTTTGTTTTTGTTTTAGATTTCACATTTAAGAAAAATCCTCTCTTTCCCTGGCTTTCTTCATTTAGCTTAATACCTTCAAGGTCCAGCCATGTTGTCACAAATGACAAGATTTCATTCTTTTTTATGGCGGAATATGCCACAATTTCTTTATCCATTCATCCATCGATGGACTAAACTTAGGTTGCTTCTGTGTCCTATTGTAAATCATGCTGCAATGAACCTGGGACTGCACATGTTTTCAAGTTAAGTGTTTTTTCTTCAGATAACTACCAAAAAATGGAATTCCTGGATTACGTGGCACTTTTATTTTTAATTTTTTGAGGAAACTCCATACTGGTTTTTTTTTTTAATTTAAATTCAATTATTCAACATATATTATTGGTTCCAGAGGGAGACGTCAGTGATTCATCAGCCTTATAGAATACCCAGCGCTCATTTACATCACGTGCCCTCCTTAATGTCCATCAGCCAGTTACCCCATCCCCTCAACCCCCTCCCCACCAGCAACCCTCAGTTTGGGAAACTCCATACTGTTTTTCACAGTGGCTGGACCAATCTGCATTCCCACCAACCGCATGAGGATTTCCTTTTCTCCACATTGCCAACACTTGTTATTTCTAGTCTTTCTGATAATAGCTACTCTAACAGGTATAAGGTGACAGATAACTCATTGTGGTTTCAATTTGTATTTCCCTGATGATTAATGATGGAGAGCACCTTTTCATGTACCTGTTGGTCATGTGTATGTATGTCCTCTTGGGAAGAAGGCCTATTCAGATCCTCTGCCCATTTTTTTTTTTTAAGGTTTTATTTATTTATTTGACAGAGAGAGACACAGGGAGAGAGAGAACAGGGAGCCCGATGTGGGGCTCGATCCCAGGACCCTGGGATCATGACCTGAGCCGAAGGCAGAAGCTTAACGACTGAGCCACCCAGGCACCCCCTGTGTCCATTTTTTAATTGGAATGTTTGTTTTTGATATTGAGCTGTATGAGTTCTTTATGTATTTTGCATATTACCCCCTCATCAGATATATGATTTTCAAATATTTTCTCCCATTCAGTAGGTTGCCTTTTCATTTTATTAATAGTTTCCTTTGCTGTGCAGAAATTTTTTTGTTTGACATAGTCAAACGTGTTTATTTTTTGCTTCTTTTGCTTTTGGGGTCAATTCAAAAAATCAACGCCAAGACCAATGTCAAGTTGCTGCGTGCCTATTTTCTTCTAGGAGCTTTATGGCTTTAGGTCTTATGTTCAAGTCTTTAATCCCTTTTGACTTAATTTTTGTCTATGGTGTCAGATAGTGGTCCAGCTTCATTCTTTTGCATGTGGTTGTCCAATTTTCCCAACATCATTTATTGATGAGACTCTCCTTTCCCCATTGTATATTCTTAGCACCTTTGTCATAAATTAACTGTCCATCTAACTGTGGGTTTATTTCTGGGCTCTCTCTTCTGCTCCACTGATCTATAGGTCTGTTTTGTTTTGTTTTTTTAAAGATTTTATTTATTTGACAGAGAGAGACACTGCGAGAGAGGGAACACAAGCAGGGGGAGTGGGAGAGAGAGAGAAGCAGGCTTCCTGCCTAGCAGGGAACCTGATGTGGGGCTCGATCCCAGCACTGGGATCATGACCTGAGCTGAAGGCAGACGCTTAGTGACTAAGGCACCCAGGTGCCCTTATAGGTCTGTTTTAATGGCAATCCCACACTGTTTTAACTACGGTATCTTTCAAACTGTAAGTTAATCATACTTCAATTTTTAAAAATTTGTTTAAAAAATTACTACAAGCTTTGTAATGTAGTTTAAAATCAGGCAGTGTGATGCTTCCAGCTTGATTCTTCTTTCTCAAGATTGCTTTGGCTATTCTTGGGTCTTTTATGGTTGTTTACAAATTTTAGGATTGTTTTTTCTATTGCTATGGAAAATACAGCTACTTTCATTTTTTTTTTTTTTAAAGATTTTATTTATTTATTTATTTGAGAGAGAGAGAGAGAGAAACAGCATGAGAGGGGATAGGGTCAGAGGGAGAAGCAGGCTCTCCGCCGAGCCGGGAGCCCGATGAGGGACTCGATCCCAGGACTCCGGGATCATGACCTGAGCCGAAGGCAGTTGCTTAACCAACTGAGCCACCCAGGCGCCTCAGCTACTTTCATTTTTAAAAAATATATGGTACACGGCAAAATAAAATCCAAAACTCTTCTGGAAATCAAATAATTACCAAAGAACACAGAGTCAAAAATAGCTACCTCTTAGCATTTAACAATTCACCCAGAGGGCCAGCAGTATAAGAACTGCTGATTCTCAAGGGTCATTTCTTTAATCAATAAAATAAATTCTTACCTGGGAGCTGAAATGGACTTCCTGGTCCAGAACTTGCTGGGGAATTGGGATATGTGCTGCTAGCAGGGGAAGGGGGATAAGGGCTATTTGGAGATAAGGGAAAAGGAGTGTTGTTGGGCTGGTGGAAAGAATCTGGAAACGTTGCATTTTGTGGCATGTGTGGCTCGTTGTGGCTCAGGTTTCTAAACTGAACCAAAAGGCTGTGCTGTGGATTGAATTCATTGTGACGAGGCACTAATACTGGAGGTAAGACTGAAAGACAAAAATCAAAAGTCATCTGTCAGCAAAGACTAAAGCAAATATCCCATACGTATTAAAGGGCAGATAGAAAGGATTCAGTAAAAACAATTTACTTTCAGGAAGGGCGGCTTTGTAGAACCTTGAATGTATATTTACATAATAACTAAGCCAAAAGCACTCTAAGGATTTAGGCCTGTATTAAGAGCTCTGAAAAACAGAAAATCCAGAAAAGATACCACTCCTGTTCCGTAGGAGAGAAGGCATATTTAAAAACAATCATAACACAGAGAATTTAATGTAGTGAGAGTTCAACAGAGGTGAGCACTTCCAGCTAGCAAGAATCAAACAAAACACTATGGAAAAGATTACAACTGATTGGACATTAAAGAACAGGGAATGCCAAGTGCAGGGATACTAGAGAAGGACATGGGGAGACTCCAGGAGGGAGATAAGAAAGCATATTCACAGTTGGCCTAAGCACTGAACTAGGAGCTGATATTAGAGTGTGACGCTGAGGTCAGCTATTAAGATGCCCTGAAAGCCTCTGTGTTTCCAATTTTGAACACTGCATCTTTCTTAGTTTGAGAGATTTCACATTTTATGTTCTTCAGTCAACTTTTCCCTAGTGAAAATAATAACATTTCCTAGGTAGAAGTCTTCCATTCAAAATCAGTTTTCTAAACATGATCATAATGAAAATATATCAAACAAAGCCTAAATATTTTAAGAGACCTATTTTTTAAAAGGTTAACTTTATTCAAACATTGACTTTCTCTGAAGACCCAAATGACCCAAATGAAATGTCTGACTACCCTTCCCTATAGGAAATCAAAGCCAACATGATTTCTTTAAACTCTTACTGTATCAGTTCATCTCTTTTACAACCTTCCCATATCTGTCAATGTAATTTTACTTCCAAAAATCTCACTTTGACTCTGACATCATTCAGCAGCAACAAAATCAATGTTTATTTTAAGTTAACTAGGTCATACTTCCCTGCCTGAACTAGGGATGTACCTGAGGAATGAGAGGCTCTGTAAGTCAGTATTCGTACTGTTTTTTTGTCTCTTTTCTTTGTACTGAATCAGTGTTGTAATTATGTGGTTAACATCTGATTACAATTGTTTCATTCTACTGTGTATTACCAACTGCTGTTCCCTTTACAGAATGATGGGACAGCTGCCATTGGAGAGTAAGGCGTGAGACAATAAGAATTTCTATGTTTAGCTGGCTAGCAAGCTGAAAGACTAAATGAAATAACTAATGAGGAATTCAATCCAGCTAAGAATTCCTTTATTTTTTTTTTAGAGGCGGAGCTAAAATCACCGACTTCTCTCATCTATTAACTATACACATCACTTTTTAAAGACTATTTTCCTCCAAAATACATAGTTTAAACAGACAGATGCTATAAGAGGTAACAAACAGAGCAATTTCTAAGCCTCCTCCCATATGCTTCCAGAGACAACAAATTTAAACTCTTAGCCACCTCTTCTAACATTTACTTTGTGCACTGCTAAATAATATGCTTATACTGCTATTATTAATTTGCCAAGACATCATTTGCCGATTTGCTATTGTGGCAAATGAAGTAGCTTTCTTACATCACTCTACCCACTCCCATTCCCGTTCCCCTCAATAAAGTTACATAAAAAATGTTGGTTAAATCAACATCTGATGTTTATTACACGTACAAATATTATTCATTCCTGAGCCAAGTATGTACTATATTTTTTCTTGAACAGTGCTTTAAGTAAAGCTGATTATTGACTTGTTACTTCATTTGCTTAATCTTAAGTACACACAACTAATAATTCCAGAAGTCTAACAGATTTGTTAAATTCCTATCAATACTATTTTCCAGATGCCACAAATAAATAATCTATTAACTCATTTTTTCCCCTGGACCCTTCATTCTTCTATGATCTAGACTGGTAGCTCCTTAAGTCTCCTAGAGATCTCAAGTTCTTAGACTTCCCTTCTCTTCTCTCCTGTTGGAACCCATTTCTTGGACCTCATGTTCTATTAGTTTCCTAAGGGGGGCAAAAGGAAGGGGGCACCTGGGTGGCTCAGAAGGTTAAGCATCTGCCTTCGACTCGGGTCATGACCCCAGGGTCCTGGGATCGAACCCCGCATCAGGCTCCCTGCTCAGTGGAGAGCCTGCTTCTCCCTCTCCATCTGCCTCTCCCCCTGCTCATTCTTTCTCTCTCAAATAAGAATTTTTAAAAAAAGGGTGAAAGATAAATTTTTAGTCCTTGCATATATGAAAATGTCTTTTGTTTGTCTGCAGACAGATTCCAGAATAAACAACTTTTTCTCTCTGAATTTTAGGGGCACTGCTTCACGGTCTTCTAGAATCCAGAACTGCTCTGAGAAACCCAACATTCTCACTTCCAGTCCTTTCTATATGTCCTGTCTTTTCTCTCTGGAAGCTTTCAGAATCTTTTTTAACCATGATATACTATGGGTCTTTTATCCCTGACAGCACCATCATTGCCGTTCTTTTAGCTAGTCTCCATACCCAATGTTATTTCCAGAGCCTTTTTACCATACCAGGCTCTTATTATCTCCATGCAAAATCCAGCATGGGAGACATCCTCTAAGGTGGCCACCATGATTCCTGCTTCTCGGTATACACCCTTTGCATAATCCTCTCCCTTTCAAGGTATTATCTCTGACTTTCTGCTCACCAACACAACATGGCAAAGGTGATAGGATGTTATGTGATGATACGATATAAGAATATAATGCCCTTCTATCAAGAAGACCCTCTCTCTTCTGTCTTTGAAGTAAGCTTCCATGAATGTGAGCTACTATGAAAAAGGTGGCGGCAAAGAAATGAAGGCAGCCTCTAGTCAACAACCAGCAAGAAGAGTCCAACAGCCCACAAGGAACTGAACCCCACCAACAATCACATGAGCTGGGAAGCAGATCCTTCCCCAGCTGAGTCTTACATGAGACCCAAGCCCTGACCAACACCTTAAATACAGCCTAGCAAAGGACTCAAGCCATGTCTGGACTCCTGTCCCACAGAAACCGTGAGATAATAAATGTGTATTAAGCCACTTACTTAATCTGTTATGCGGCAAAAGATAACTAATGCACCCAACTAGTATCTCAGCTTATATAATTCATTCATGAAAAAAAATATTTACTGTGCACCACCTACTAAGTGCCAGGTCATACTACTATTCTAGGCACTGGTGATGCACTACAGAATGAGACAGAGGAAGTTCCTGCTTGCATGAGTCAATAAATAAAATAATTATCTAACACAGCATCAAGTAGTGATGGGGGTATTTGAGCAAGGACTGAACGGAGTGAGAAAATGTACCATGAAAAGATCATGGGAGAGAGTTAAGTAGAAGAAACAGAAAAAAAAAAAGAAAGGAAGGAAGGAAGGAAGAAAAAGTAAGTCTAGATGCAGGAGTAGGCCAAGTCCATGGGACAGAGGAAGTCTGAAGAGAGGTTATGTAGGGTCTTTAGAAATCTGGGGGCGCTTGGGTGGCTCAGTCGTTAAGTGTCTGCCTTCGGCTCGGGTCATGTTCCCAGGGTCCTGGGATCGAGCCCCACATCGGGCTCCCCGCTCCGTGGGAAGCCTGCTTCTCCCTCTCCCACTTCCCCTGCTTGTGTTCCCTCTCTCATTGTATCTATCTCTGTCAAATGAATAAATAAAATCTTTAAAAAAAAAAAAAAAAGAAATCTGTTCTAAGTGTGATAAAAGTCTTAAGTGTTTTGAGCAGGCAGACATGATTTGGTATTTTCTTTTTTTAAAGACTGATTTGTTTTAGATAGAGAATCTCAAGCAGACTCCCCGCTGAGCACGGAGCCTGACACGGGGCTCAATTTCATGACCCTGAGATCATGACCTGAGCTAAAACCAAGAGTGGGATACTTAACTGACTGAGCCACCCAGGCGCCCCATGATTTGCTATTTTCTAAAGAGCACTCTGGCTGCTGTGCAGAAAACAGAATGGGTTGGAGGGAGAGAAAAGAGGCAGAGAGACCAATTAGAACACTGCTTAAGGTGGAAGATGAAGATGGTCTGTCCTAGAAGAGTGGTGTTAGAGATGGTAAAAGGGGACATTATTAAGATAATATTTTGAAGGTACAGCAAACAGCATTTGCTCATAGCTCAAATGAGGACTTCAAAGATAGAAATAAAAAATGACTTTTAGGTAGCAATTACATGAATGCTGGTGCCATTTACCTCAATAGGGAAAATTGGAGGTAAAAAGGACTTGGTGGGGGGAAAAAATCAAAAGCCCTATTTAGACATGTTGAATCTGATATGTTTATGAGACATTCAAATGGAGATGTCAAGTGGGCAACTGAATACAGAAGTCTAAAACTCAAAGGAGAAGTTCACTCTGGAGTTCAAAAATGTGAGCATGAGCTTACAGTTTTACATGTGACAGCATGAGAGCCCACAGGGGAAAAATATGGATGTAGAAAAGGTCTAGGGACTGAGTCATGTGAAAACAGGAAAAGAAGCCAATGAAGAGACTAAGCAAAAAGAGCCAGTGAAGTAGGAGAAGCAGAAGAGTGTCGTGTTTCAGAAACCAATAAAGAAAAAGTTGTGAGTGGGAGGGAAAGAAAGCATCTCAAATGACGTTGAGAAGGCAAGTGAGATTAGGACTGAGAATGACCCCTCCATCCAGAAGGCAGTCGCCAGTGATCTTGACAAGTCAAATGGTAGGGAAGACAGACTAGGAGGAGGGGTGTCCAGAAAGAACGGGAGGAAAGTAACATAGAGATAAAAAAAAAAAATGGAGACTCCTATAAAAGGTCTCAAAGAAACAGTACAGGAGACTGGGGGTGAGGGGATGTGAATGAAGTCGGGACCAGAATTCTTTTTTAACTTCTGTTTTAGGATGGGCAGTAGCATGATATGCTTATGTGCTGACAGAAATAGTCTAATAGAGAAGGAAAATGTAATCCTGGCGAGAGGGGTGGTAACTGTATGAACAAAGTTCTTGAGTAGACAAAAAGGAGTGGGATGTAGCACACATATGGAGCTTAGGTTTTATTTTTTTTTTAAGATTTTATTTACTTATTTGACAGAGAGAGACACAGCGAGGGGGAGGGGGACAGGGAGAAGCAGGCTTCCCGCTGAGCAGGGAACCCAACGTGGGGCTCAATTCCAGGGCCCTGGGATCATGACCTGAGCTGAAGGCAGGCGCTTAATGACTGAGCCACCCAGGCGCCCCTGAAACTTAGGTTTTAGATAAAAGAGACATGGCATCCATGGGAAAGGCAGAGCATGCATACGACTGACACTGACTGACTCATGTACATATGACTGACTGCTTACAGTGAACATGAATTAGAATTAGCTACTTAGGAGCTATTTTATATATAAAAAGCTAAATTCAAAATCCACTATTTCTTCCAAGATTAAAATCTTTAAGAAGGAAACACAAGGCTAATACAGCCTTTTAATTACTAAATCCACTGAAATATAAATGAGGAAGAGACAAGGTTTTGTAATTCTTCTCAAGGTAAAACCTACCTGGACTCTCCACTCTCTTATAGTGGTATGGGTTGATACAAACTTCTTTCTGCTTAGATCCAAAAGGAAATTCACAAATATCCAATGGCTTTAGCTCATGATGACTCTGCAAATCAGGCCAGCGCCAAACACGACAATATATAACATGGGGTAAGCCTTTTCTGTGGGAAACCTGCAGGCGTCCATCTAAAGATCTGGGAATAGTGACACATTTGCTCGGCTGTCCTGGACTGCTCAAGGCTTTCTCCAGTTCTTCCATGGCACCCTTTTTCTTTTTTAGCTTTTTCACCAAAGCATCGACTGCCTTTTCTGCCCATTTCTCCTCTTCATCACCTTGCTTCCAGCCCAACAATCGCTTTACTGCTGGACTAGTAAAGGAAAACAAGCTGGCCATTGACGTCATTTGATATAAATCTTCAGAGACCTTCCTGCAACTCAAAGTCAGTGGCTACTCAAAGAACAGCTCACAGATGAAAAGTCACATACAGGTTCTAAGCAGAAGTTCCAATTAAAAAGGGAGGAGTGACATTTATCTTCATAAGTGCCATAAGATTCTTTCATTGGTTCAAGTCCTGAAAGAGAAAGAGGGAAAAGGGTAAGACCCCTAACTTAAATGAATGCAATTAACATACATCTAAATCAATTTAATTGGAAAGTATGTTATTTTTAAATAAGAGCAGAAAAGCATTACAAAGTAAAAAAAAAAACCTAAGTCTAGAAGGAGAAATTTTCCCTAAAGTCCTGTGACCACTTCCTTTCTTCCTAACATGAACAAGTAACTCACTGGCAATGGCAAATAACCACCAGAAGCAAAAACAGATTGCTCTACCTCCTCTCCTCTGTACTTTCCTAACAAATAAGCCTCTAGACTTTCATTTCCTTTCCCTAGGCCAATAAGCCCCCAAACGCCCTTCTAAGGTTTGATTCTGAAGTACTTCTCTTCACTGAAACCCATGTCACATGCCCTGTCAATTTTGAACACAGTATGTCCTCTAATGTCAACACAGTCTTCAGAAAAATCTAACTCTTTCCTAAGGTCATTATTCTCCGTAAAGTGTTTCACAGACTTACAAGGTTTGGACAAAAGCTATAGTCCTATTTAAGTCACATTATTAGATGCAAATTTTATCAAATTTTATATTAGGTTTTTCATAAGAGATAACAAATCCTCAGATAAATCGTAACACACATAATTGCCAGAAAAATGGGAAGTATCTATTTTTAAAACCAAAAATGCTGAACAGATTTAAAGAGAATAAATTCAAAGTTTAACCCAGAAAAGGACAGTTTATAATTTTATAATTGCTATTGCCTTCTGTGGTATTTTAGGCATGTTAAGTTAAAGAACCTGCTCTAGGCAGACCACCCCACTGCACCCTTACGAAGCTCCTGGAGATGATGACAAGAGGAAGTGATGTGCAGAGGCGCTGCACTGATAAGAATGGGTACAATTCCCCGTGGTCACTACACAGCCAACTACAGACAATGAGCGGCTAGTGAAACAGCAGGAGTAATGTTTGGAAAAAGGATGTCAGTAACAAATTGGAAGCCAAGAGGCTTCTTCTCTTGGGCCTAAAATTGCAAATAATGCTGCAGCTCTGCCTTTGACAATTTCTACCAAACTCTGGCATCAAGACCATTCTGGATTGGGATCTATCTTCCCAGAAAAGAATACTTGTGTTCAGTTAAAACCCAGATAAACATAAATTAAAATAAAACTGAGTTAAACTCAACAAATAAGAACTAATTGCTTTCTATGTGCCATACATTGTGAACTGCCCTGATGGTGCTTTAAAAAAAAAAAAGTCACACCAAATTATGCTTCATCTTAAGAGCCAACTGATTCATTCATTCAACAGACACTTACTGAGACCTAGTAAATGCCAAGCATTGTTCTGGATGCTGATCAACCAGCTCTGGCTATCCAGACTGCTATGAACCATGGTTAGAACCTAGACCCAAGGGTGCAAAGGTGCGCAGAAGTAAAGTAATACTCCTTCTGTGTGGATGGATTTCCAAGGCTACATGGGATGATTTTTGTCAGGTAGGCAAAACTGGCTACATTAAACTAAAGAAAATAAGGAAAGACTGAAAGTGTATTTGTCAGTAACAGGTCACAGACTGTGAAGTGTTATGTGCTAAGAGAGCTGAGCTCAGCTGTAGCTACATCAAGGATATAGGATAAAAGCCATCTGGGCCAGAGAATAAAGGTAACAAAGTAAACCAAAATATCATTGGCTTGTCTAAGACAAGAGACATTTCAAAGGCATAGGGACACAAACAACAACAACAAAATATGTGGGCAGACATGAATAGAGCATTTCCTAAAATAAAGAATAGATAGGTCTGGCTGAGATCTTACTCAGTAACACTGGAACATAATGGAGACAAGACGGGGTAGTGCATGTGTGTGGGAGAGAGAATGTATGAACAATGGAGAGATTAAGTTGAGGAAAGGGACAAGAGTAGAGAAGCTTGAAGACCAAACACCAGATGGTAGTTAACCACTAGACGGTGCTTCATGTTAACTACTAATCTCACTATCATCATCGTCATCATCATCATCAAGTACTAACCATATTATATATTAACCAAAAAAAAGGCGGGGGGAGTTACTTCTGCGTGTACAGAAAGAACAAGGACTAGAAAGCTACATACTAAATTCATCATGCAGTTTCCTTTGGGGAGAGGCATGGAATGGGGGAAAGGCAAGAGAATGGGGTTCTGTGATTTGTTTTATATATTTCCGTATTATTTTAACCTTTTCACAAAGGGAATCTATTAATGCATTACTTGCATAATACTAAAATAAAAATAGTAAATAATCTAAAACAAATTGCTGTGAATAGAACGGAGTTACAAGTACCAGTACAATGAGGAGGTAAGACTAATGTATGCTATCTTAGAGGTCAGGATGGTAATTTCCCTTTGAAAGGAAGGGTCTTAAACTCAGAAGGAAAACTGAGTTTCTGCCATCCTGGTAAAGTCCTGCTTCTCCTCTGGGTGATTATATGGGAGAGCTCAGTTTGTGAAAATCCAGCTGGTGGGATACTTAAGATGTGTACACACTTCTGTATGATTTAAAAAAATTTTCTGGATATATAAAAAAGCATAGAGTGCTCAGTTTCCTTCCCATTTTTCTTCCCATCATCAATCAGTGCCCCTTCTCACAGGTAATCCCTCTGTATTTGTCTTTCATGTCCCTACAGAGAAATTTAACACAAACACAATCAAATACAAATATATACATAAAACCTTTTTTTACATAATGGTATTCTAAAAAGAAAAAGGTACAGAAAAACATATGTACCATATATGCTCAAGATCTTCCCATTCCAATATAGAAAGTGCTTCCACATTCTTTTTTCTACTACACAGAATTCTAGTATAAAAGTAATCTTACAAGCATGTCAAACTATGTCATTCCTCTGCTCAAAAATTATTCAGTCGTTTCCCATTACACTCGTATCTAAATTCCTTAACATCACTTTATAGGGCCTACATGAGCTGGCCTTTGGCTTTCCATCAAAGTCATTTCTTACCATTCTCCTACCTAACTTTGCACTTAACCTCCTTTCCATTTCTCAAGTGCTCCAAGGTCATTTCTACCTTAAGGACTTTGCACTTGATGTTTCCTCCCCTGCATTCTCCCTCAAGTTATTTAACATGCTTACTCTTTCAATTAATTCAGCTGCTCAAATGTCACTTCTTGAAAAAGGACTTCCCTGGCCACTTTATCTAAAATAGCATACATCACACTCCCGCACCATTCTCTCCTCCCTGATCCTGCTCACTTTTCTTTCATGGTGTTTATCCTAACCTGATCAACATATCAATTTTATTTATTTATTATAGGTCTTCCTCACTGACATGTTAGTAGGCAGGTAGCTTCATCTTCTTTATCCATCATCAAATTCCCCTGGACTGAGAACAGTGCCTATTTATTAAATGAGTGAGCAAGGAAGTAGTGAATGAGTGAACTAAAGAAAAGCAACTTGGAAAAATATACATTCCTTTATCAGAGCAACCTAGTATAAGAGTTAAAACAAAACACTGTATTTATGGATATGCACAGATATGTAAGAGAATAAAAGCATGGATAAAAAGGATACATACCAATATCAGGACAATGAGTACTGGTTGCAACTGCTAAAAGGAAAGAAGGATGAAGAATGGAAAAGCTTCAGCTATTTTAAAACCAGATTTTAAAAAATTGGCAAGTCATCAGATGTTATATTCTCTCTTCTTCTCTATGTTAGAATATTTCATAACTCAAAATATTCAAAATTTTTAATTTTTATTTTTTTTATTTTTTTTTAAGATTTTTTTATTTATTTGAGAGAAAGAGTGAGAGAGAGAGAGAGAGAGCACAAGAGGGGGGAGCGGGAGAGGGAGAAGTAGACTCCCTGCTGAGCAGGGAGCCCGATGCGGGACTTGATCCCGGGACTCCAGGATCATGACCTGAGCCGAAGGCAGTCGCTTAACCAACTGAGCCACCCAGGCACCCGATTCAAAATTTTTAATTTTTAAAAAGTAGTGTGATGAAAACAGAAAATGATCAGATTCTGTCCTTTACAAGATATAAAACCAAAACCAGGTATCACTCTTTCTAAGTCTACTAATTCTTCTGTAAAAAAGGGGTGATGGTTCCTAAGTGACTAAAAAGTTGAAGTAATAAAATATGTAGGGGCACCTGGGTGGCTAAATCAGTTAAACATCCAACTCTTGGTTTCAAAGCTCAGGTCATGATCTCAGGGTCATGAGATAGAGACCTGGGTCGGGCTCCACACTGAGCATGGAGCCTACTTAAGATTCTCTCTCCCTCTCCCTCTGCCCCATCCCATCTGCTCGCATGCACATCCTCTTTCTCACTCTAAAATAAATAAAATCTTTTAAAAAATAATAAAATATATGTGCACATGTGTCAACACACACGATAGATGCTTTATAAACTAAAAAGTGCTATTCAAACATGAATTATGAGCATTAGTATTCAAAGGAAAAAGAATCAAGACTCAAAAAAATGGCTGGATTGGGGCGCCTGGGTGGCTCAGTTGGTTAAGCATCTGCCTTCGGCTCAGGTCATGTTCCCAGGGTCCTGGGATTGAGCCCCGCATCGGGCTCCCTGCTCCGTGGGAAGCCTGCTTCTCCCTCTCCCACTCCCCCTGCTTGTGTTCCTTCTCTCGCTGTGTCTCTCTCTCTCTGTCAATTAAATAAATAAATAAAATATTAAAAAAAAAAAAAATGGCTGGATCTGGAGCACCTGGGTGGGTTAAGCACCCAGCTCTTGATTTTGGCTCAGGTCCTGATCTCAGGGTTGTGGAATCAAGCCCTGCATCGGGCTCCACACTGGGCATGGAGCCTGCTTAACATTCTCGCTTTCTCTCCCACTCCCTTTCTTTAAAAAAAAAAAAAAAAAAGGCTAACATAACATAGCCACCACTATACCACCATACACACTTTCTGATCCAGCCCAAATTCCTGTACTTTTGCTCATCTGGGTCTTCCAGGAGAAATCTGAAGTCATTCTTAATGATAAGCTCAAGGCCACTCCCTCTGGTGAAGAATTCCT